CCCGGGCCCCCACCCACCCGGCTCCCGGCGGGCACTGAGCCTGCTCCAGCGCCACGAGCATGCTCCGTAGAGCCGCTGCCCGGGCTCTGCCCAGCGGCCTCGCCCGCCTGCCCCGGGCCCGCGGACCCAGGCGGAGGGAGGGGCCGCGCGGCGCTGCCACCGCCCCCGGGCTGCCCTGCTCCAGCCGGGTTCAAGCCTAACCCCCCGGATGGGCTCTATCAGAGCAGAGCTAGGGAGCTCCTTCAGGCGCTTGCTCCCATCACTTCCACCGATGTGGAGATATAGTTTAAATTAGGCTAGCGCTGGCCAGGCACAAACCTGCAGGCCGCCACCCCCTTCCCCCAAGCCACCATCCTCCTTCCACTCCTGTGAGCCAGTGGATGCCCCACCTATGGCTATGATTGTGGTCCTCAGGGCTAGCCAATTTCTCTAAAAAATGTAGAGTGCAAACGTTGAAGAGCGTGAGGCTGACTGCTTGGAAGAATATGCCCTAAGTGCTTTAACTGGTCATAGGATCACAGAGTCGTGGGGCTGCAATGGACCTCCAGAGGTCGTCTGGTCCAGGGGTGGGCAAAATGCAGTCGAGGGGCTGGATGTGGCCCGCCAGGCCATTCTATCCTGCCCACGGGGCTCCTAAAAATTTAGAAAATTAATATTTATCTGCCCCTGGCTGCCTATCATGCAGCCCTCGATGGCTTGCCAAAACTCAGTAAGCGACCCTCCACCCAAAATAATTGCCCGCCCCTGGTCTAGTCCAACCCCCCTTTGCAGCTGGACTTTACCCACTGATGGAGCCTCACGTGTACAGGATCCATACATTAGTAGTATTTGTATCCTATAAGAGGAACTAAGTCACACACACACACACACACACACACACACACGGGACCTTGGTGATCTTGAACTTTCCTCATTGAAGCATCAGGACAGATTTACAGAAGGAACAGTTTACATTTTAGGAAGGCTCATTTATTTTACATGAAAAGATGTTCAACAACCGCAGGTCTTTGTGGTGACTTTCAAAGAAATTATGTGTAGCAGATGAAGGGGAAAAAACTTTACAAATTTCCGAAAAGAATAGATCCTGATGGTACATCAGTAATATAAATACACTATCTTTCCCAACTGCCTTTTATTTTTTTACTATAGTTACCAAAAATAGAGAGATGAGATTATCAATCTGGCCCTTCAGATTTGCTCTTCCTCTATAAATGTATCAACCTTGAATTTTTAAAGGTGATTTGTGGAGGAGTTGTGTTGTACTTTTTCTTTATTTATCAGTGAAAAATAAAGGAGGTCTGTAAAGTAGTTGGTTAAAGGATAGTCCTTCATCCATCAGAAATTGCTTCTCCTATATTAGGAGATACATTAAAAAAAGATGTCTGTCATCATCAGACATCATCAGTATATTTTTATGTAAAAGCAACAAAAAAAAGTGCACCATAAATACCAAATTTTGCAGGGAACAGGACAAGCTTTTTTGATGTTTTTGGACATTCTCTGGCTTTATACCAAATATTCCTCACAGATAAGGACAAAACAAGCCAAACCTGAAATCTAATATGTTAAGAGTTATAGTACCCGTGGCACTATTTGTATATGGATTTATTTATAACATATACTTGATAAAACCCTACTTCTAGTGAAGTCAAAGGCAGTTTTGTCATTAAATTCACCAGAGCTGAGATTTCATCTACTATTATTAGCCACTAATTTCTTCAATAGTGACCGAAGTATGGCCTCAGTTAAGATAATAAAAACAAAATTTACCATCAAATGTACTATGTTGTCTGATAATTGAAGAGAGCATCCACAAAATTGCTTGCTGGTGATTCCACCCAAAAATCTTCCCCCACGGATTCTTCAGATGTTCTAGACCAGTAGTTCACAACCTTTTTAGACTAAAGGCACCCAGTCCTTGATAGACTAGAGACGCCCCTAAGAAAATGTCAGCTCTTAGTTTTCACTTTATTTTCAACTACAGAAAACTAGTAGAGCAATTCTTCCATTGCAAAAAATTCAGAAAGACCACAACAGGACAGATGCTTTCAGCATTATGGATTCCTGTTTCAGACTTTTATCTTGTGAATCATGTTTGCATACCTAACAGTGTTCACAGAGCATGGCACTGTGCAACATCCCTGAAAGAATCCCAGGGCACCCTGGTTAAGAATTGCTGCTGTACACTTTATCTTCTTTATTGAGAAGAGACCACCATACATTTACACTGGGCAGTGGTTTGATGCTAACAAATAATGGGGATTACAATGAAGGCACTACATGAGTCTGTATTATTAGACTGCAAAGAGGAATTAAACATAATTCATTAAAAGAGCAAAATTAGTGAATGAATCCATATATCAAGGACAGGGAAATGGAACAAAGAGCTGGCCCTTTCTCCCTCCCTGCAACAGGCACACAAGCAGGACACTTTTGCAGAATTTTGCCCTCAACACAAGGACTATGACAAAGTTAGCATCATAACCACTACTAACCTCTTCAAAGAGGTCAGACAGGCTTTTCAGAGGGATGACTCCATTTATCCATTTTGGTACTGGGCAGTATAGTAGAGAAAGTCTATATCATGTATTCTGTAACCCAGTGTTCCTCTTCATTTGCCAGGAAATTCCTGGCACAGTGCCTCTGAGTGCTCAGAGAGGGTAACTTGGGCATGACAGAGGTATACAAAATGAAGAATCCTATATAGACGTTACAATCAGCACTTCTTTACAAACTACAGTAACAGAAGGAGAACAGATGACAACACAAACTGCTAAAAGGAAGTACTTCTTAATACAAGACATAATTAACCTGTGGAACTCGCTGTCACAAGATATAATTGAGACAAAGACTTTATTAGGTATTTAGAAGAGAATTAGACATCTATAACACAAATGGGAAAATCTGGAACTATGTTAGAAAGGATATAAATTAGAAATACCTTTGAGCTTTTCCTCAGAACTAATTGTTGGATTTCTGAAAAGTTTCGCAAGAAAATGCCCCACATGGATAGCTTATTTCATAATTGCTTACCAACAGATTGCAAAATATCTTTCTTGATGGTAGATACTTGGTACACAGCTCTTTTGAAAAACAGGTTGCTTATTTATTTATTTATTTATACCAACAATTCTCACCCTGGGGTTCCTTGGGATTCTTTCAATGTTAGTATTGTTAGGTCTGCAAACATGATTCACAAGATAAACCCAGAGATTTCAAATAGGAATCCATAATGTTAAAACTATTCTGACCTCTTTTGGCCTTTCTAAATTCTTTGCAATAGACTAATAACCCTATTAATTTTCTACAGTAAAAAAAAGAACGGAAACTGGAAGCTGTATTTTTTGAGTACCTCCAGTTCACTGAAGAGGGCCTCAATCTAAAAAAAATTTAGACGACTGATTCATATGTTTAATTATGGATTCATAAAACTACTTTTGGGGTTGTCTTTAAAAAACTTGGTCCAGATTTTTAGTTGCTTGATACCAGATCACTGTTAGATTTGGTAATGTGATGGGATCACCAAATTCCCTAGTGTGTTTGTGCGTGCATACATGCACAGCACACATGTATATATATACACACAGATACATCTGTTTGCATACACGTACAAACACATATGTATATATGTGTATATATATTCTCAGCTCCTTCAGACTTCAGAATAAGAACATTAAAAAATTCTCATCAAGAAAACATCTATGCCAATATGCTCTCTTTTTTTTGCATAGCAGAGCTGAGTTCTGAGATGCTGCCCTACAAACAGGATCTATTTATTTTCTATAGCTGGCTTTCCAATCATGTGTGTGCATGTCTGTGTGTCTTTGCATACACACACACACACACACACACACACACACATACACACACACACAGCAATTTGGTGATTGTATCACATTTGTGTCCCATAATCAATATAAAATTAGAGATATTTGTATGCTATAAGAGGAACTAAGTCTCTCTCTCTCTCACACACACACACACACACACACACACACACACACACACACCCCGGAGAATTTGATGATCACATCCCATTTCTGTTCCAAAGATATAACAGAGGCTCAATTCAGTTCCCTCTAAAGTCAGGAGATGTTCTTCTGTGGCTTTACTAACAGCTGGATAAGACCCCAGAATAACCACCCAGACAAATCGGAAATATACAATGATGTATTAAAAAGCTGATCATTTCTCATGATTGTATATGTTAAAATGTGTGGAAGCCCAATGTTAAAGTTTCCATTGCACGCTATCTGAGAGAGCTGAAAATAATTATTTGTATTTCATAGACATCAGGGCTGGAAGGGACCTTGGAAGATCATCGAGTCCACCCCCCCGCCCAAAGGGCAGGAAGTCAGCTGGGGTCACAGGATCCAAGCAAGATAAGCATCCAGTTTCATCTTGAAGGTGTTCAATGAAGGCGCTTGAACCACCTCCGGTGGCAGGCTGTTCCAGACCTTGGGGGCTCGGACAGTAAAGAAACTCTTCCTTATGTCCAGCCTGAAACGATCTTGAAGTAGTTTGTGACCATTCGACCTCGTCATCCAGGCGCTCTGGTGAGTGAACAAACATTCCCCCAGATACTGGTGGTCACCCCTGATAAACTTGTAGGTGGCCATCAGATCACCCCTAAGCCTGCGCTTTTTCAGGCTAAAGAGCCCCAGGGCTCTCAGCCTGTCATCGTAGGGTCTGCTTCCCTGACCTCTGATCATGCGCGTGGCTCTTCTCTGGAGTCTCTCAAGCTTCTCCACATCCTTTTTGAATTGTGGAGCCCAA